GAGAGAGCATGGGGGGGGAGGGTCAGAGGTAGAAGGAGACTCCCTGCTGAGCAGAGAGCCGGAAGTGGGACTCGATCCCGGGGCTCCAGGATCATGACCTGAGCCGAAGGCAGTCGCTTAACCAACTGAGCCACCCGGGTGCCCCCCAAGACGTTTTTAAAAGCACAACCAGGGGCTCCCAGGTGGCTCAGTCGGTTAAGCATCTGCCTTCGGCTCCGGTCATGATCCCAGGGTCCTTGGATTGAGCCCTGCATCAAGTTCCCTGCTCTGCGGGGAGCCTGCTTCTCCCTCTGCCCCTCCCCCTGCTCGTGCTTTCTTGCTCTGTAAAATAAAATCTTAAAAAAAAAAGTTTTGGGGCACCTGGGTGGCTCAGTCATTAAGCGTCTGCCTTCGGCTCAGGTCACGATCCCAGGGTCCTGGGATCGAGCCCCATGTCGGGCTCCCTGCTCTGCAGGAAGCCTGCTTCTCCCTCTCCTGCTCCCCCTGCTTGTGTTCCCTCTCTGGCTGTCTCTCTTTCTGTCAAATAAATAAAATCTTTAAAAAAAAAAAGTTTAAAAAAAATAAAAGCACAACCAGGGGCGCCTTGTGGCATAGTCAGTTAAGCGTCCAACTCTTAGTTTCAGTTCAGGTTGTCATCTCGGGGTTGTGAGGTCAAGCCCCGCACTGGGCTCCACACCCACTCAGCACGGAGTCTGCTTGAGATCCTCTCTCGCTCTCCCTCTGCCCCTCCTGCTCATGCTTGCACTCTCTCTCTCCTTCTCTAAAATAAATAAATCTTTAAAAAAATAAATAAAAGCACAACCAGTTCACTTGTAACATCACTTCTTACAGGCCTGATATCCATCTCTGGCTGTCAAGGTTTGTCACTTTCTTTTGTTCTCTCCACCAGCCCCTCCTCTCCTTCCGTTTCATACTCTCACAACCCATTAGGCATGAGCTTTAAGTGTTGGATGTGGTGCAATTCTTTATTTAAGAGGCAGCAGTGCCTTACTGGAACAACAGTGACATCTAGTGACCAAGAAATCTAAGAAGCAGATATCATCAGCCCAAAGGGGTGGGCAGAGGGGTATATGGTCTTTGAACACTGAAGAAAATAGGGTACCAGAAATAAGGACATTCTAATTCTGATCACTCTTCAGGCACTAACTCTGTTCTTGTAAGCACCAGTTACCTTAAATATTTGCAGTATTCAATGGGGATTATGCAAAATGCTCAGTACTATTCTGAGTTTCATCAATTTAATGGTTTCAAAGTCAACATGAAAGCTGATAATATGTTAACATTACATGTTTGGTTTTCTAGAATAAAAATGAAAGAATCAGATTTCATCCTTCTAATACCAAATGCCAAAAACCACCAGCATGCTGATTTTTACCTGCAACTCCATTGTTAAGGGATAAACTCTTACAGAATTCTTAATATTGAAAAATAACACAAAAATGGAAAAAATTAACCAAAAAACAGGCACGTTTTTATAATAGTAGGATACAAACAAAAACCAACACTTCACTTTTTATTCTTTTAAAATGAAAAAAAAAAAAAAGCCTCCAACCTTTTCTTTTTTGGGGGGGGGTAAAATTATTACTTTTGATCCACAGCCAAAGTATAAGCCATTTTTCCCCTTAAGTTCCTCTCCCCCTAAAATGCTTTAAAAACACAAACACACCTCAAAAATCTCAAAGAATTAATTAGATGAGGAATTTTTTAAAATTACATAGTTCGGGGCGCCTGGGTGGCTCAGTCGTTAAGCGTCTGACTTTGGCTCAGGTCATGATCCCTGGGTCCTGGGATTGAGCCCCACACCAGGCTCCCTGCTCAGCGGGAAGCCTGCTTCTCCCTCTCCCTCACTTGTGTTCCCTCTCTCGCTGTGTCTCTCTCTGTCAAATAAATAAATAAAATCTTAAAAAATAAAAAAATAAAATAAAATAA